AAATTCTTCTTAAACTTGTTATGATTGTAGATTTAGTACTTTGATATATTCTTAATGTCAGTAAAGGAATAATTAGAAAGTGAAACCTGTTACAATTTGGTGGGGGAAGGCATATTTTTAGAATAATATAGAAAAAATATATATTCTTCAAAATAGTCAATATCTGTCTTGGTATTCATGGTTTTTAAATCACTTGGAATATTTTATTTTGTTTATCTCTGCCTACATATGCCTAAAAATTGATGGTACCTCATAACTATAAAGGAGTCCTGGTTGTGGCGCTGTGGGTTAATGTGCCAGACTGCAAAGCCTTTTGAACTGCAAGGTAGGCAGTTCAAGCTCACCAGCTGCTCCTCAGAAACCCTGTACAGGGTCGCTATGAGTCAGAACCTACTTGATGGCACTTAACAACAACAATAACTATAGAAGAATCCTGGCGTGGCACTGTAGGATAAGCACTGGCCTGCTAGCCACAAGGATGGTGCTTCAAACCCACCAGCTGCTGCTTGGAAACCCTCTGCATGTTGCTGTGAGTCAAAACCTACTCAACAACACTTAACAGTGACAAAATAACTGGAAAAAGTGCTAACTTTTCACAATTTCCATTTCATACTGTCATTATTCAAACTCTAATTTCATTCTTCTTTGACAAGAATTTCTTGACTTTTTAAAGCAACATCAAAATACCAACTCTAAAAATAGTTTCGAAAGTACTTTTTCCCCGCCTTTATAAGGGGCCCTGATGGGACAATGGGTTTAATGTTGGACTGCTAGCTACAAGGTCGGTAGTTTAAACCAGTGAGCTGCTCCTTGGAAACCCTGTAAAGGGATGCTTTGAGTTGGAAATGCATCGACGGCACTTAACAGCCACTGTGCGAGAGATGGGAGAAAGAGGAGACTGACTGCTCTTAGAAAGATTTAGTCTCGGACCCTGTGGAGCAGTTTCACTCTGTACTTTAGGATTGCTGTGAGTTGGAATAGACCCGATAGCAGTATGTTTTTAGAGATTTGTTTTATCTTTAGAATGGGAACACCAAAACCCAATTCCAAAAGCATTTTACTAAATAGGTATTAAAGGTTATCTTTGTTTTTAGAGGAGGTAATATGGATATGAATTGATATACTTAGCCAATCTGGTTTTTGTTTTTATTCCTATAAAGTTAAAAGATTAAAAACAATGTTTATTACTATTAACTGTAGTTTTCATCAAGTGTGGCTATAGCTTAATATGGCTGTATGCTTGCAGTACAGTATTTTAAGCTAGAGGACATTTCTCCACCTGGACTGATAAAAGTGGATCCTTGTTGTTGCTGTTAGTGCTGTTGAGTCAGTTCCAACTCATAGCTACTCTGTATAGTTTCCACGAAACAGCTGGTGAGTTTGAACCGCTGACTTTGTGATTCAAACCAGCCTGTGGTGGTGTTGTTGTTGTTAGGTGCCAATGAGTCGGTACCGACCTTCCCAAATCTGAAATCCTTCTCCAGTGACTGGTCCCTCCTGACAATATGTCTGAAGTATGAGAGATGACATTTGTCCATCTTGGCCTCCAAGGAGCACTCTGGCTGCACTTCTTTCAAAACTGATCTATTGGTTCTTTAGGCAGCCCATGGCACTTTCAATATTCTCCTCCCAACACTCCAGCTTTCGTATGCACATGAGGTTATTGAAAATACCATGGCTTGGATCAGGCACACCTTAGTCCTCAAGCTGACATTTTTGCTCTTCAACACTTTAAAAATGTCTTGGGCAGCAGATTTGCCTAATCCAATACCTTGTTTGATTTTTTGACTGCTGCTTCCATAAGTGTTGATCCAAGAAGAATGAAGTTCTTGACAACTTCAACCACCCTTGTAATCCAGTACTTTATCCTACAGTGCCACACCAGGACACTGGACCCTCAGAATCCTATTCTGAATAGAAGCAGACCTCATATGTAGCAAGTTCCCAGTTTAGTCTTAAAACGTGGTTTAGTCTTACTCATTTGACCACAAACTGTAGCATAGTGTTTTCAGTTGAATGTGTGATTCTAACTAATGTTTGGGAAATTGTTATAGTAACATTGAAAAATCTTTTTTAATTCTAGGTATCTGTATTATAATGACAGTAGTCATAGAAAACAGGCACAGCTCCATTTTGGCATATTGTTCATTGGTTACCTAAACTTCTTCTTGATGTGTTGTTGAGATTTTTATTGAGGATGTAAGTAATGTAATATGTTGTAGTTTTTTAAATAGCAAAATATAAATGATTTGCAGATAGAAAATAAGTAAAAGTGGTGTTTTCTGAAGGAGAAGGACATTTTCACTAAAAACAGGACAATGTAGTTTATCTTTTTGTTCCAGTATCATGCATTACTTTTACTTAAAATTACCACCATAAAGGCTTCAGTAGAAGAAAGATAATATAGAAAACTGGCTCCTGTTTCCCGCCTTTCTCTTTTATTCAATGATCACAAATTGTAATGTTCAAATCCTTCAGAATAATTTCAGTACATTTTATGTTTCAAACTATCTTCTAGAAATTATATCTGGGTAAGTTTTATTGTGTTTTGGTTAGAGCAAAATATCTGTAACTATGAAACATGTTGGAAATTTTCTTAATGAAGTTGGATTATCTTATTACTTGAAGAATAATTTTATAATAGAATTCTTCAATGTAGATTCACAAAGTTTTGAATTGAGTTTCAGAACAGTGATTGAAATTCCATGCCCTTGCAGTATTACTCGTGTTTGATGTTTGAAAAATGTCAACAGATTACCAGTCACTCATCCATCCAGTTTTTCATTTCTTCCTTCAAGTAGCTTTGCTTTGCTTTGCTTCACTATTCATGTCAGTGACTGTCATCCCAATATATGCTTTCTCCTTTGTGACAGTACTGACTGCAGTTTCCTCTTACTGAGGTTATGATTGTCAGGAATAGGCAAACTATGAGACGTGATTGTGGAAGCAGAAAGGCATTCTGACTTTGTACATCAGCACTGTCCAGTGATACAGTTTCCTGGGATAATGGAAATGTTCCTTATTTATACTGTCCACTGTGGTAGCCACTAGCCACATGTGATTATTAAGCACTTGAAATGTGGCTACTGCATCCGAGGAACTGACTTTTGTATTTCATTTAAATTTTATTTGTCATACGTGGTGGTGGTGGTCAGTTCCAACTCACAGTGACTATATAGGGTTTGGGTTTCTGAGAGTGACCAGTGGGTTTGACTGCAAGTCTTTTGGTTACTAGTCCAGTGCTTGTGGCTACATATTGGACTGCACAGTTCTAGATGACCAGACTTAATCAGCATCGTTTGTTTCTGCAGGTCAATACAGGTCATAACTTTTACATATGTGAGTAACAACTTTTTTTTTTAACATATGTAAGTAACAACTTTTTCAGATATAAGGGAATGTCCATATGTTTGAGAATGTTTCAGCACTAATTTGTTTTGTCTTTAATCATTTTAGATCATTAGGAAACACATTAGTTTTTATCAAATGGATGAAAATCATTTTATATTTTTTGTTAGAAATCCAAATTAGTCACTTGGTATGGTTTTATAAAATTTCATGCAATTCTGTAAAGCCTTTGTTGTGGTTTTCTCATGGTTGTAAACATGGCTTTGGTTTTGTACTTTACTGTGTCCGGATTAAGTTTCTCAATTTACCATTTTGCTGATTTGTGTTTCCTAATGCTGGAGGAGGTCAGTGCAGGGTCATAGAGTTGAATGAAGTTTGATTGCAAAGAACCTGACAGCTAAGATATATTTATGCTATCTTGAAATGAAATTTAACAAACTTGTGCAAACCAGCAGTGGTTTCATTTAATCCAAAATTACAGCACAGTATAGTGTGAGATAAACATTTTATCTTTGCATTACTCATTGGGATTGAAAACGAAGTGCAGCCATGCCTCACCATCCACCAGGAATTGGTTCCTGGACCCTAACCCCCCCAAACATACCAAAATCTGTGGATGTTCAAATTCCTTACATAAAATGAATTATTTGCATATATAATTTACGCACATCTGCCCGTATACTTTAAATCGTCTCTAATTGCTTATAATATGTGGTGGTGGTAGTGGTGGCTGTGTGCCGTGGAGTTGGAACCAACTCATAGTGACCCTTTACAGGGTTTCCAAGACTGAATCTTTACGGGAGCAGAACGCCTCATCTTTCTCCAGCGGAACCGCTGGTAGTTTCGAACTGCTGACCTTGCGGTTCACAGCCCGATTCGTAACCACTACGCTACCAGAGCTCCCATAAATGCTATCTATGTATGTAGAACTTTTGGCTCCATGTTAACCTTTGTGAGATTGCTGCCCCCATATCCTAATATTTTCGATCCTTCTGGGTCGAATCAGAGAAACTCATGATGTGGAGGGCCAGCTGTACTGTTTGTTGCTTTTAGTAGCACCGTTGAGTTGTTGTTGTTGGTGGTGTTAAGTGCCGTTGAGTCTGTTCTGACCCATAGTGATCCTGAACAGGGTTTCCTAGGCTGTAAATCTTTACGGGAGCAGAAAGCCTCATCTTTCTCCCACACAGCAGCAGGTAGTTTCAAACTGCTGACCTTGAGGTTTGCAGCCCGATTTGTAACCACTACGCTACCAGAGCTCCTTAGCACCATTAAGTAAAAACCACCAAATACTGTACTTTCAATATCTACTTAATTACAGATTTAATTGAGGAAATAGAGAAACATTGAGCTTAATGAATGATACTTTGAGGAAAAGATTAAAAGCAACACTGATCTTAAAATAAAATGATGAAGTCAGATAATCGATTAGAAACATTATTTTTAAGGAGATAATTATCTTTAAATAAATGACACCTTTGTGTCATTTAACAGCGATCTGCTAGGTTAACAGTGCCCATACAAAACCAGTTTAAATTAATTGAACAAGTTCCATTCACCTAGGAGGGTGGGAAGGCAAGGGAGAGAGACAGGCTCAGCTGCTATTTACATCTCTGACCTAGGCTCCTATTTGACCTAAGTCTGTCTTGATGCAGCAGCGCAGGCCAGCGAGGAGGTGGTGTCATTTCGCCGTGAACGCAGCACTTTTAGGCGCCAGGCAGTACGGCGCCGGCACAATGCAGGGAGTAACCCTACCCCTCCTACATTGCTCATCGGATCACCCCTAAGGTATGGTATTTTAAAATTCCACCAAGTTTAGCATGCATGTAACAGACCTTCTGATCTCTTCTGTGAATCCCAAGAAAGGCTTTGGGCTTTGTTTTTCTTTTTATCTTTCTGTTTCTCTTCTATATCTTTTAAGATCTTTAGGCTTTCTCTGCATGTGACCTTGAGCCTATTGCATTATGCATGCCTAAATGTTGCACTATCTAAACAAATGATCAGATTGGCTTAGCTGATTTAAAATTGCACAATTACTCTCTAGGACAGTTACAGAAATGTAGGTAGAGGACTTAGGTTAGCGTTTCATTTATTTTCTATTGCAGATGAATAATATTAGTGCAACATCTTTTCCCCAACATCTTTGCGGTGTTCAATAGAAACAAATCTGAGACTGGGTAGTGAACTTGTTGAGTATCAGATATATTTTATGTCTTAAAAATTAGTATCTCTTATAATTTCCAGGATTCAATAAATGATACGGAGCTAAAATATTTAATTCATTATAAAACTTGACAATTAGATCTATATGTTTGCTTGCACATTTATGTTGAATTCTCAAACCTTTAATAGTGTGTGGAGCAAAAGCATTTTTGTTTTCAATATTCCTCATCAAGAAAACCATCCTTTTATATAACACTGGGAATAATTTTTCATTAAATTTCACATTTTATTCTCACTTCCAACAAATGTGCATGCTTTGAATTGAAAATGGAAAATTTATTCCAAAAACCTTCTTTATTTTAAGAATACAGATATGAACATAAGTTCTTTACAGGTGCTTCATTAAGTACTGCAAATATTATACCATATACTTTTATCCACCTCTGTGTCTAAAAGCATCATTGCCCAAATGATTTTCCTGCCACATACTGGCATTTAGTGAAATAGTTGTTACAGCGTACGTGGTAGGTTTAAATAGAGAAACCCCTTCCATTGCTAAAACTTTGTTCTTGATAGTATGAAAATCCTATTTACTTAAATACTGCCTTTATTCTCCTGGGTTTTAAGACTTGATTATTTTTCGGAATGGATTTTGTTAAAACTTGCCTTTTATAGGTCAGCTTACCTTTTGTTGTTGTTGTTGTTAGGTGCCATCGAATTGGCACTGACTCATAGCGACCTTATGTACAGCTGAACGAAACACTGCCCAGTTCTGGGCCAACCTCACTATTGTTGCCACGCTTGAGCCCATTGATTCTGCCACTTTGCCAGTTCATCTCGCGGGGGGTCTTCCTCTTTTTCTCTGACCCTCCACCTTAGCAAACATGATATTATTCTCTACCTTTTGTTGTTGTTGTTAAGTACCATGGAGTCAGTTCTGACTCATAGTGACCCTGAACAGGGTTTCCGAGGCTGTAAATCACAGCCCGATTCATAACCACTACGCTACCAGAGCTCCTTCTACCTTTTGTAGAACTTGCCTAATTAACCCTGCAGTAAGGCATAGTTCTGTGAAAAGTTGTATAGATTAATTTAAATCATATTTAAAATAGAAAAATGGATGGCAATCAATAAAAGAAGATTTTAGTTTAGAAACCATTGTGTTTTATTTCTTCCTTTTCTTAACTTTGCTTTCTTTTCTTTCTGCTACTGAATTTGGAATGTAGACCAATATGCAGAAGAGGAGCTCAACATTTCATTTTACTTTTTCTGTTTTGTTTTTAACCTCTTCTTTTTGCCCCTTGGATAATACTTATATTCACGTCATCTTTGTTTTCCTACTTCATCCCATTTGATATTTCTGACCCTTTTAAATCATCTCTTTTCAGTCTTTAAAATCTTTTTTTCCGTTTCTACAAATGAAACTGCTGGATTCTCCCTGAACAAGTGTAGACAAATTAGCTTTTTTGTCTTCCTGGTGTAATATTAAAGGAGTCATGTTTTGCTGTAGCTGCTGACATAGGACTTCTCCATTTTTTCCTGTGGTCTTAAATATAGCACCATTCAAACAAGGTTATGGTATGACACTTGTAAAGAGTTCAAATTACAACTTTTGGAAAATAATCTTCCTGTAGTTAAAATGCCATTTTTGTTGAGGCTCTAGGAATATTTCCAGTACAGAGGTTGCATGCATTTTAAATGAGCTGGCCTCATCATGGGTCAGATAAATTTAGCTGTGAGTTTATTAAAATCATCTTTTGTAATTGCAGTGATAATCAGTGAAAGTATATTGGTATTTCTCAGTATGAGTTACAGAACAATAATCTCATTTTAAAGATTGGACGGAAAACTCGTTTGCCAAAGTAAATGGAATGGATGTGGGAATACTTTCATTTTAATTACTTATCTAAATTCTGGTAAAATCTAAATTTAAACTTTATTGATTGACTTAAGTAATTTGTGATTTCTTGAGTCTCTTTTACATTTTGGTAACATACTTATTTTCAAAGATTGGGAATCACCGATTTCTTCACAAAGATAACTGGCATGTCTTTTATAATGTTTGTTTAAAGTATCTTGTTTCAAAGTTATTTTGGAAAGTTGTTTTTTTTTTTTTAAATTAGTCTGGCAGCTAGTTCTTCCCAGTTGCTAAAGATTAAAACAAAGATGAATAATTAAAATTTTCATAATACTAATATTGATAGTCATAATTATAGTTCTGTATTTACCTAAATTTAACTATCTAAATTTAATCTACCTAAACGTAACCAGAATGCTGGTTAATGAACTGGATGGGAAAAAATTACCAGTGCATTTTGATGAAAAGGAAAATACTTTTAGTGTATTCTGAGATTAATATTCTTAAATATCAGATTGAACTATCTGTGTTAAACAAAGTCAGAGTAGTAACTGAGTACTTGATTAGGTAATCTATAGAATTGTTGTGTGTTGTTTAGGAATAAATGCATCAAGTCATTGCTCATGTACTATATTCAAGAGAACCTTATTGAAGCTGGAGATCCATAGGAATACTGAGGTCATATTCTTAGTGTTTACATGTTATTTGGGTAGTGTATAAAACAATATAAGTCAAATGCTAAACAAGTATTAGAGAGAAAAGAAATATCAAGGCAAATATATATTTCTATCATTAAATTAGAAATATTAAGATTGCATGTCAACAGTGATATTGATAGCTGATAATTGTAGACCTAAATTTTACCTCCTTTTGCTGTGTTGTAAAGTAGTTGCTATCTTTTTTTCAAACTAGTAGTTTGGCATATAACTAATACTGCAAAAAAAATAATAATAATTCATGCCACGTAGTTCAAGGTGAAGTGTAACCGTCCAGGAATATGCTTTCTGCATAATGACAGGTTTTTGTTGTTGATTGATTAAAAATAGGAAATTTTCTCTGTTTGCTGGAATTCTTACCTTTTGTGGAGAAGACTGATCCAGGTTTAATTCCTGGCTAGTGCACCTCAAGCAGAGCCACCTTTCTTCTCTCCTCATTGGAGGCTTGCATGTTACTGTGATACTCAATAGGTTCAGTGGAGCTTCCAGGCTGAGACAGACTGAGAAAAAAATGCTTGACAATCCACTTCCCAAAAATCAGCCAATGGAAACCCACCCTATGGATCACAGGATCCCAACCCATTGTGTATGGAACCACTGTTATATGACTAGCCTTAATTTTTAAAATTCATGATATTGACATTCACAGCCATGGAGACTGGCTAATTTCTTGATCCTGAAGTTGATTTTAATATATTACCTAATTTGCAAATCTTTTTGTGTATTTGGGTATATAGTGTGCATCTCTAGTTTTGAGATTAGGAAGTATGGTGGCTCCAGCTGATAAGCACTGGACCATAAGGTCTGTAGTTCACTAGCTGTTCCACAAGAGGAAGATGTGGCTTTCTGCTTCCACAAAGATTTAAAGCCTTGGAATCTCTATACTGGGTCTCTGTGAGTCGCAACTGACTTAACAGCACTTAACAACAATAACAAATGTTTAAGATTAGTATATTTTGAAATATCTTTTCTTAAAATACATCTAGCTGCCAAATAGCATCTTTGTTTATGACTTGCATGAAAATAATTGATACAAAATTTGTTGAGTATATACTTACGTATATAAAATCTATAAAATTCTGCAATCATGAATCTGAAGGGATACAGTAATTGAACTATTTAAACTTTTTTTTTTTTTCTCACCATTCCTTCTTTGTGAAATCTGTTCATTTTGGTGGCGACGTTTGTGAAGTTACAGCCTTATATATTTATGTAAGATACAAATGCATTTGGTTATATTAGTTCCTAAGATCATCTCTGATTTATGTGTACTGGGCAAAACTGTAGTCTAAAGAAGTTAAAAAATGAGTATTTTTATAGCTATGGCTTAAAAAAATGCTAGGAAGAACTGACCAGTAAACATTTAACAAATATAATTTGTTACTTGTATTTCTGTGTTTTACTTAGCATGTATACTTTTCAGTGGTCTAAAAGCAGTCTGAAAAATAGATGTCCCAGGCAGCATTGTTTCTATGTTGGCAGAAATGTACTGTAATCTGCATTGTCCAATATGGTAGCCACTGGCTACTAGTCAAAGGAGCATAAGTGATTACAAGTCGGGCTGTGAACCTCAAGTTCAGCATTTAAAAACTACCAGCCATTCCATGTGAGAAAAATGAGGCTTTCTACTCCCATAAAGATTTACAGCCTCGGAAAACCCTATGCAGGGTAGCTATAAATTGGAACCGACTCCGCAGCACACCACCATCAGCTAGTTACTGCCCACTATGGTAGCTATTCGCTACTGCTCAGTATGGTAGCACTTGAAGTATAGTTACTATGATTGAGGAACTAAAATTTTAAATAATTTAAATGGCCTTATGTGGCTACAGTGATAGGCAGTACAATTCCAGAGTATATTTTATCGCCACAACCCCAGGCTTAACCAATATGTACAGTATTTCCTCTCTTCCCTTTTATTTCATGGTTATTTCAAATTATACTTCTCTTCTCAGTCTACAGTACATGAACCATTCTTGTATAGTCATCAGAGAAACCAACCCTCTGCATAGAGTTGATTAAAAAGACATTGAAATTCTTGAAAATGATAAAAGTTACGAAATGAGGCTGCCCTAACTATAGTCTTTCTTTTGAGAAGTCTAGGAATGTTAGTAACAGGCTTGAGGCTTGTTCACAGTAAATGCTGAATTTCATTGAATATCATGTAGAGAATGATAAAATAATTATACTCAAAATGCTTTCATGAATTGCATCAGTCTGTGTACATAAGGATCGCTATGAGTCGGTATTGACTCGATGACACCTAACAACAACAGATTTGGATAATACTATACCAAGAACATTAATGTTCATAGTGTTTAAAAATATATAAATACATAAAAAGATTTAACAATATAGTTTTATAATTTTAGAGAATTTATATATTCTGTAAGTAGTTTTGAATAAATGCATCTATCATTGTAAAATGAGTATTTAGCTTTTTTTCTAAAATTAAAGAAAAACTCCCAAGGGAAATCACTAGTTTACAAATTATTTTTAAGATTTGCTAATATGGTGGGTTCTTGTTAATGAGACAAGATGTGTGGATTGGGAAAAGGAAATACAGTTTGTTTAGGGAACATAATTACTGTTAATTAGCATCTTGTACATAATTCCTGTGGCCTTACTTCAGAACTATGTTGCCTTCTCATACATAACACTATAGACATTTCTACTTCTGCTGGATAAGCATCTCATTTGGCTTAGTTCTGCTTGTTATTCTGCTTCTCTTGCCCTACTTTGTAATTTTTGTTTGTTTCAGAATTTGAATCTTCCTTGCATTTTATAAAGATTCTTTGGTTTTCAACTACATAGAAACTTGGTTGTGAGACCAATTCTAGAATTATTATTCCACGGTTGTAAAGAAAAGTGCATTTTTAATTAATAGAATGTATGTATTAGGGACCTGGAGGCTTTCTACTCCCGTAAAGATTTACACCCTCGGAAACCCTGTACAGGGTCACTATGGGTCGGAACCGACTCGACGGCACTTAACAACAACAACAACAATACATCACATGCATGGAAAGTGTTTATAGTGCTCATTCTGTTGATCACTATGAATCATATTTATAGGGATCAGAATTAATTAAGCCAACAGCTTAATCTCTGTGGTTTATAAAGCTTGTTGGCTCTTTCTTAGGTTATGCTGAAAAAGTTTCGTTTTGAAATCAGTTTTCTATATTGACTTCATTCTAGCTATTGTTTTCTCTCTTCTTCCCTGTAATGTCTCCCCAATCCCTGTTTTTTCCTAGCCTTCAAGATGGTCACCAAGGCCAGCAGTCCACAGCCCAAGTCCAACTCCAGTCCCGTCCCCCTTCCCAGGCTGCTGTGCTCACTGCTAGTGCCTCCTTGCTGGTGAGAAATGGGAGTGTCCACTTAGAAGCATCACATGACAGTGCTTCTGCTGTAGGCGGCAGCAGTTTGCACGATGAACTTGGTATGCAGGCGTTATGTAATAATCTTGGTGATAACAAAACATTGATATAGCAGATAGTGGGTAATGATTGTATTTTTGTCTTCAGGTAGCTTCATTTTTGGAACTGTGCATAAGATCACTTTTTATAGCATTTGTCCTGTGTGTAAGGAATCTCTGCTTTTTGCCTTTTCCGTTCCATGTTTCATTTGAGCATGCCTATCACTGATAAGTGCATAAAAGTGTTGGTGTTCATGTTGTAGTGTTGCACAGTTCTGTTATTCCCAAAGAGGGAAATGTTGATTTAAAAAACAAAAAATGAGTTTCAGTAAACCTTAATTTCTTTATCAATATGCTGTTAGAAAAGGAAACATACTTTCTAATCATCTTTGATTATTGAATTTTTCTTTCAGTATTCTGTATTCCATAATCAGTGCCCATCATCTGAAATAGGATTTATTACAATTTTATATGTCGCACCCTGTGGACTATATGATTTAATACTGATATCAAATAACTTTATGAAGCTTACTTTTTCCTGTTAATTAACCTACAAATATACATACAAGTTATTGAGTAGTAAGTAGATAAGCACTGAACCACAAGGTAGGTGTGAACTGCAAGGTCAGCAGTCCAAACTCACCATGTATTCCTGGGAAACCCTTTATAGGTCACTGTGAGTTAGAACTGACTTGCTGGCACTTAACATTAACAAATACCCAGAAGGAGGAGTATAGTTTAAAGTCTCAGTAATATCTATCTACTCAAATATCTGCCTGTTTAAGGACAGTATTTTAAACTACTGGGTTTCTGCTTCTCTGTACAATCCGACTTTTGTGTGTTTGGAATGCATGCTAATAATTTAAGTTAGTATGAGGAAGAAAATCTTCAAAAATAGGAATTTAGGTGCATTTCACTGTTTCATAATCTTATTTTATTCATGTTATTACCTGCCTTTTATTAAGAAAGATAATAGTCTAGTAGGTTGCTTTGGCTAGAAAGATATGTGGTGTCAGGTACCCAAACTAGGTATAATAAAATTTCATGTTATCTACTCATTTGGGGGCCATGGTGGTAGAGTGGTTAAGTGCTCAGTTGCTACTGAAAGGTTGGCGATCGCACCCACCAGTTGTTCTGCAGGAGAAATATGTGGCAGTCGGCTTCCATAAAGTTTTACAAAGTCTTAGAAATCCTATAAATTCTACTCTGTCCTATGGGGTTGCTGTAACTTAGATTTATGGCAGTGGATTTTATTATTATTATTTTTTTAGGGGATCTCTATTTTTAGGGGATCTCTATTCGTTGACATTCTTACCATTGCTTAAAACTTAAAAATACTTAGTCTATCACAGAGAGGTATTGGTAAATATGTACCTATGCATATTGCTGAAAATGTTAAGTTTTGCCAATCTTACACATATTAAAATGATTAAGATATTTGTAACATTGGTATGTATAATGATATCTTTAAAAAACAGAAGCCAGTGAAACGTTGTAATTTTAAATCTAGAATGCTTTTGGATTTTTGATTTGGAGAGACAGGGTAGTCTGTGTGAAGAGGTTGCTTGAGAGAGAGTTGAGAGTAAGTTAGACTTAATTTAGTTACCTGCTTTGTCTCAAAACAATGATGCGTTTTAGTTGCAAATATATTCAGTCAAGTATTGTTGTTGTTGTTATGTGCCCTGGAGTCGGTTCCGACTCATAGCGACCCTGTACAGGGTATCTGAGGCTGTAAATCTTTACGGGAGCAGAAAGCCTCATCTTTCTCCCGCGACACAGCTGGTAGTTTCGAACTGCTGACCTTGCGGTTAGCAGCCCAATTCGTAACCACTGCGCTACCAGAGCTCAAGTATTAGTATCTTTATATGAATGTCTCTCTCCACTTAATCCAGTTCTGTGAACATCATTGTCCATCACCATTGTCCAGTAAGAGGGAAGGCTTCATTTTGATCTTTTTTGAATAGGGAATTTTTTTTGAATAGGGAGTTTTGTTGATGTTGTTATTAAGTGCCATTGAGTTGGTCCCAACTCAAAGCGATCCTGTATAGGGTTTCCAAGATGTGGCTGGTGAATTTGAACCACCAACCTTGCAGTTCAAACCAACCTTGAGGTCCAGTGCTTAAGCTCCGGTGCCATACCAGGACTTTTGTTAGATCCAGCATAAAATGAAACAAGAAATGTTTTTCCTTTATGAAGATAACTGCGCTCAAAAAACTTGCTACTCAGAAAACTCCAAACTGGTTGCCATTGTTTGGACTCCTAGTGTCCCTAAGTAGGGTATCCGAGGCGGTAAATCTTGGCAAGAGCAGAAAGCCTCATGTTTCTCCTGCAGATAGTTTCAAACTGCTGACCTTGAGGTTAGCATTCCGACTCAGAACCGTTACACTACCAAACCTTTCATTGTAAAGTCTCATCCTGAAGCTGCATGTAGATTGTTGAAAATATATGCATATGAAGAAGAACGCCTCTTGTGATTGGAAGTGGTTTTAGCATCTGCTGCTGGGTGTTCAGGATATTTTGAAATTTGGATTTTATTGTTTGTGTTAATTGTCTTCTGATAGCTAGTTGTTTGCATGTGGTAGCTAAATGCTACCAAATTGAATGCTGAGTAATAATTTAGCACAGAACAGCTAATGGGAAATATATTCATGTACCTGTTGCATAGAGTATAAAGCTGTACCAAAAGTTTTCAGAATTATAGCAGAGTTTAAAGAAACTGGTAGAGTAACTGACACTTGTGAAACATTTCACTGGGATATATTACACATATTCTGTTGGAATTCTGTTACGTAGTGTAATTTTCTGAGTGATTTAATAAATGGCAGGGTGATTTATTGTGAATGAATTTAGATAGTATGTGCTTTTAAATATGTTAGTCACAAAATTATACAATGTATACAGATGATTCCTTCCTACCTTCCATATCTAGGTTCTTCAGTTAAGTATTTTTAACTGCATTTTTTATTTACATGTACAGATATATGCATTGCTATTGGTAAGTGCCATACAAATTGATTCAGATTCTTAACAACCCTGTATAGGGTTTCCAAGGAGCAGCTGGTGGGTTTGATCCACCAACTTTGTGGTTAGTAGTTCACTGCTTATTCTGCAATGCTACACAATATTCATAAATTTTCCTTTGGATTGAAGGAGACTTTCAGTTGGGTATTGCTTAATTTCAGGCACAGACAGATGCCATTAACATTCATTTCTTCATCTTTACTCGGTGTCGTACTAACGACCCATATCCATTTCCTATACTAAAACTTTGGGAATAAATATGTATTTCTCTGTTGCTTTTTAACTAGCATTTCAAGGTTATCAGATAATATTAAACATGGTAGAAGAACTTATTGAAGATGATGCTGTAAGAATTTTATTAGTAGCTTATTTATCAGAGTCAATTTTGCTTTCATCACCATTATACTTAGCAGTCATAATCAATTTGAAAAATGAATGAAAAGTAGAAAATTAATTAAAAGTAAAATTTAAAATATGGGTAAAAAATTTCGGTGGTTTTCTTTCTAATTTATCTTCATTTCCATGCAAATTTAGGAGTAAAGATTTAAATGACATTGAGAAATCAGTGTTGAAAATGAAATTTCTACCCAAGAATTTCTCAAAACTTTCAGTAAAATATGTTGTCCTTTTTTATGACGAACAAATCTTAAAGGCTACTTTTCTTTTGATCAGTCTTTTAATGGACTTGTTTATTCATACTTAATGCTGTTTCCTAAATTAAATTGTACTTATACTAAATTTAAAAAGTTGTGGCTTCATGCCTAGGTAAGTTACATGTTGTTAAGTGCCCTCGAGTCAGTTCCAACCCATAGTGACCCCAGAGCGACCCTTATAAGGTTTCCCAGGAGTGGCTGGTGAGTTTGAACTGTCAACCTTGTCTTTCAAAATGACCTTGAGGTTAAGTGCTTATCCTACAGCACCACACCAGGATTCCATTGTTGTTGTTGTTGTTAAGTACACTCAGTTCTGACCCATAGCTCCCCTGTATAGGGTTCCCAAGGAGTGGCTGGTGAGCTTGAAATGCCAACCTTGTGGCCATACTTTGCAGTCTAGCGCATTTACCCTCAGTGCCACACCAAGATTCCATGAGAGACTCTAAATTCAGAAAGATTTAAAACCTATTCTGTATCGAATAAACAAACCCCTTTCTGTAAAATGTGGCTGTCACCTCTCCATTTTTATGTTATCACAGCTTCCTTTTTAACTTAAGATCATTCATTTCATGCAATGATGAAATATGTCATTATAATTCATGATACTTTTAATATGTAACAAACAGTTCAAAGGAAATGTACTAGATGAGATGGCATAGGAAAATTGTGTGTGTGTGTTTTATGAGTATTTTGTGTATGAAATTAGTTTTTGGTTGATTTTTTAAATGTATTTTATATTTATAATTCTTCTAATAATGTGGTAGAATAAAGGTTCATATGCACAGATTTTAAAAATATTTTGTTACTAAGCAAAAGACTATACAGGTTTGATAAATCTAGTTATTTACTTAGCTCAACATCAGGTTATTTGTATCAGTCTGTTGTGTTGTTGTTTTTTTTTAACGTTTTTATTATGAACTCAGTGAAAGGCTACAGGGCAGATTATCAGTTTTACATTCAATAAATCATATTTTGTTTCATTACAATTATTACAGTACTCTCTTGTGTACCATCAGTCAACTGTATTTACTTCTATTCCTGTCTACCCCCCATTTTTTTTTTTACTATATAAAGATACAAAATAGAAAGTATATACCTGTTTAATTGTCCAAAGAGCTAACGTTACAAGCCAGCCTCCCACAGATACACACACAGGTTTTCTCATTCCATGTGCCTAGAATCCTCAGCTGCTCTAACTCTATACCTTCTCCTCTGTTGTTGCTTTTCTGGTTAGGATCCCATGCTCCACTCATTTCTGGTTAGGATCCCACGCTCTACTCATGTTCTTCCCTCTTACCTTTTGGGTCCTCTGTTCCTGCTATGGAAGATTAACTGTTCCGCCATTTTAGT